GAAGGAAGGAAGGAAGGAAGGAAGGAAGGAAGGAAGGAAGGAAGGAAAGAAGAAAGGGACAGAGGAACTCAAAAGGAAAGAGAAATGAAAGGAGGGAGGAGAAGAAAAAGGGAGGGAGGAAGGAAGGATACAGAAAGAAGAAAAGGAAAGAAGAAAGAAACTAAGGAAGAAGATAAACGATATTATAGGCAGGTAGATTTGATGACAGGATGAAGTTATAGATGAAGATCCAACCAATAAATAAAATATTTTTAAATAAATATTATTGGATATTTTGGTATTAGGCAAGTACATAGTGAATAATTACTATAATTATCAGTTTTTTTTTCTATTTTACACAATCATGAAACAATATTTACACTGAATGCAACCAAAATTACAAAGTACACTACAATTTTAGACTATTCTTTATGCCAAATTCTTAAAATTCATATATAAATCATCATTTCAAAGCACAGTTCTTATCCCTACAAGTGTGGCAACTTTCCAAAACACCACTAAATATTGAACATATATGTAAGTTTTAAAAGTATTACAACAGGGAACAATCAAAACTGTCTCTCTGAATAAACAAAAGCATCTCTCTCCATGCAGTTACAGTGTGTGGCATGGTATGAAATATGTGATGTGTATGAGGGCACATTCCCCAAGCAGTAGACAGGCATAACTGTGTGCCTGTGTTTAGAGCAATGAAGTCCTCGCCATGTTGGAAAGACAAAGATGGACAGCTTCTGCTTTTCCATGGTATCTATCTCGATAACTACTAAACAAGAGCTCTGCTACTGAACGTCCTATCAGCTTAGTGTTATTTTGAGATGAGTCCTCATGATGTAGCCCTGGTTTATCTTCTTCCTTTAGAGTTATGTAGTTTTTGCTTTTTAATTCCAAATAAACTTTCAGGAAAGATATTTACATGGACATTCTGTAGAAGCACTTAGATTCTATTCCTGTAATGAAGCGATGAACAGGTGAGTAAATGCTAATTAGAACATAAATATTCAAAAACTTCCAAAGCAGTCCCAATGGCTCTCATTGCCTGAATGAAATTAGACAAGCAGAATTCTGTTGTTTTTGCATTGCTTTTTAAATGATACTTATAATTTTAATTCTATTCTTAAATTACTTACATTTGTATGAATTTAGTAGAACTATTACATTGTGGTCAGCTCCCTTGCAACTGATAGATGTATTAGAATATAACAAACTTGATTTAATCCATTGTTGAGGTTACCTGGAAGAATGTGTGCATATTTGAGAAGACTGAGGGAAAGGGCCATTTGAATTGGTTTTATGCAATTAGGTCTAATGAAATTTCCCTGGATAAGGTAATAAGATACAGTACAAACTATAGGGTGAAATGTTTTATAAAAAGTTTTATGAAATTCTGTGGTGTATAGGCCTAGTACTAAAAATTACAGTACCATGTAGAAGAAATAAAATATATCAATTATATATTTATATGTGTGTTCTGACATGAAAATTCTTTTCAAATAATTTATAGCGTATTATAAAGAAAAGCAAGTGTACAACCAAATACAAACAACTCAATTATTTTAGTAACAGAGAAACTGGACGGTATATCACAGTGAAAAAAATATTAAGCTGAGACAGTTGCTTAGAAAAACTTTTTGTGAACAGAAATTGTCAAAAAAATAAGTGAAAAAAATAAAAATTACAGTAAAACTTTAGTGACCAAAATCTAAATGTGTGTTACATGCAAATAAATGAGATCATATAACCTGTATGTATACACACATATATACGATATTCATATATTATATATGTACATATATGTGTATATATGCAGATAAATATATAATATGAATATCATCACTGATGAAGTAAGCTTACCTCATGAAATGTTGTTGCTGAGATTGTGGTGCACTAACACACATTCCTCTTCTCTTTCAAATAAATTTCTAATACTAATACTTTATAATTATGATAAAATAGATCATGGTATAGCAGTAAATATCTTTAATACATGTGATTCAAAAACAGTTTAAATTTTACAAGTTTGTTGAGGGGAAGGCTCCAATCATGAAATACTACAAATTAAAGTGTACACGAGTACATATAAATAATTTTATATGGTAAATAATAAAAAGGTGTCTCTTCATTTTTTAATGCCTAGAAACATGCCGCCTCTTAAAACCTTACTGACATTAAAGAATTGGCTATTATTTATTACTATACTTTGCAAAATTCCCTTTGATTTCACAGCTTAGTCAGGTTGACCGTCACCATAAATGTGATGCTTTAAAGTCAATTGAGATAAAAAGTTTTTAATATCTCTTTATGAACAGAAATTTCTCTTCATCTTTTAAAAAATGATAATGAATATCTTTCACCTTTTCCTTGACATAACAAAAATAGTCCAAGTCATTTAACCACCTATATATATGGGAGAAAGTCAAATGAAAAAAAAAAGTTTCAGTTCTTCTTATAAAGTATTAACTTCCATTTACTCAAATTCATATTCCACTTACTTTTGAAACCTATAGATAAAATTATAGTTTTGCAAAATATACTTTTTAAGCACTAATGTAGCTTAGTATATCAGACATGTATGTGACTATTAACCTCTAAACATTGGAGAAAGTATCCAACAGTAAATATGAAGAAAGAATCTGTACTCCTTGGGCACTATAGCACAGTGGGAACCACAGAAAATGAAACAGAAATGAGCTCTTACATTTGATCACACAGGGACCACACTTGTAGATTAAAGCAATGCAAAGTATCTCATTAATCATTCCACCTTTCTTTAAGTGAATGAAACTTTTCTCTCTAATCTCCCATTCATTTTCTTAAAACTGTATTTTTAAGAACAATTTATAGATTTTTTTTTATTTATTTAACATCAGATATTCTCCCTGTGGGGTTGCAAGCAATTTGAAGACTATCCCTAAAGCATTTGAATATTTAATGAATTGCCTGGAGGTTGTGCACTAATTGACTTGTATTTGACTTTAAATTGAATAATAATAATTCATAGGTTTTGTTTTTAAAGTTTTGGAATCGGATGGCCAGGACTGCTCATTGGCTAAATTAACTTGCCGGACAAGCCTGAAGACGTAAGATGAGTGCCAAGAGCCCATTGGAAGAGGGAACTTACTACACTATGAAAAGAGGGAATCATCTTCTCTCTCTGCAGACCTCATCCCTCCCCCCTTGTTTTCTTCCCCACACTCTCTCTACTTCCTCTTCCACTGTCTATTCTATTTTCCCTTCTGAGTGAGATTCAAGGAGGGTCTCCCTTGGGCCATCCTTGTTACTTAGCTTTTTTGGGTAGGTGATTAGTAGTATAGTTATCCTGTAATATATGACTAATACCCACTTATAAGTGAGTACGTACTTTGTGTATCTATTTGAGTCTCAAATACCTTCCTCATAATGATCCATTCTAGTTCCATCTATATGCTTGCAAATTTCATGACTTCCTTGATTTTAATAACTGAGTAGCATTCCATTGTGTAACTGTACCAGATTTTCTTTATCCATTCTTCCACTGAGGGACATCTAGCTTCTGAATCAGTTTTTGGCTATTACGAATAGAACTTCTATGAACATAGTTGAGCAAACGTCCTTGCGATATGCATAAAAAAAATCTATACCAATTTAAAATGAAGCTTGTTTTCTTTTTATAATTAAATTTATTTATTTTTATTAATTACAGTTTATTCCCTTTGTATACCCCCATAAGGCCCTTCCTCCTCCCCTCCTGGTCCCACCCTCCCTCCCCCTTCTTCAAGAATGCCCCTCCCCAAGTCCACTGATAGGGGAGGTCCTCCTCTCCTTCCTTCTGATCTTAGTCTATCAGATCTCATCAGGAATGGCTGCATTGTCCTCTTCTGTGGCCTGGTAAGGCTGCTCTCCCTCAGGGGGAGGTGATCAAAGAACAGGCCAATCAGATTATGTCAGAGGCAGTCCCTCTTGTTTTCTTATCCTAAATGGAGATAGGATGAGAAACACAATTCATGAAGCCCAAGAAGTTCTGTAACTGCTGCCTTATACCACACAGAAATTTCAAGATGATGAGTCACATCACATGGCATGTTGTAGAAAATATGGTCCACATAGTTGCTATTTAAAAAAAAAATCTGTGTTTCTAGAGATGTTTTAAATACATATGCACGCATACACGCACACACACACATATTCTTTATAACCATATGCATTTAATACCATTAGAAATAAACATGTGGTGGCCAGACATACATTCAAAACAGAGGACCTCTGAAAAGCTCTGCCCTGCAGACTATCAATGTAATACTGAGACTTATGGGCAACCTTTGGGCAGAGTGCAGGGAATCTTAGGAAAGAAGTGGGAAATAATAAGATCTGGAGAGGACAGGAACTCCATAAGGAGAGCAACAGAACCAAAAAAAATCTGAGCACAGGGGTCTTTCCTGAGACTGATACTCCAATCAAGGACTATGCATGGAGATAACCTAAGACCCCTGCACAGATGTAGCCCATGGCAGTTCAGTATCCAAGTGGGTTCCATTGTAATAGGAACA